TCTGATTCATCGCTTCCAACGACTGATCCTATCGTTCGTGTCGTCGAATCTCTTGAGCGCCAATGGATTCAACTCTTTCTCTCTTAAGCGCCGGTGAGAGTCACTCCTCTTCTCAACCCTTTACTACAATAAAGTAGTTTAAAGTACTTTATATTCAATTCATTGTTGTTTTCAAAATAATAATTTTGAGTTTTAAAAATGTATTCATTTAATCAAATAATAAGTTTTACAAAAATAGTAATTTTAAAAACAATTTATTAAAAAACTAAAAGATCGACAAAACGGACAACATTTTATATACAATGCATTCACACAATCACTTCACGCGAAGAGTGAGACAAACAGTAATTCAAAAACCCATAGAAAATGATTGCAAAGAATTGTATGAAAAAGTGTTGAATGGATTGAGTAGTGCTTAGCGTTGAGTATAGAAACCAATTGTTTGTCTCATTGGCGACACTTTGCTATCACTTCTTCACAAACTCTTTGTCTGTTTTAATCACTAATTGTTTTGCCATCACTTGAAGCGATCCAACCCTTGAGCCATGAATAGAGTGCTCTCTTTGCTCAACAAATCGAGGTCTGTATCGGCGACTCACAGACAGACACATAGTCTTCTCAAGCCATTGAATCCATGGCACAGACAATACTAATCCCATTACTATTCATACACTTTGCAGGCCTTCGTTGATCTTCCCGTTGGCGCTCATTGGCGGCCACTATTGGCTTCAGACACACCGTCGGCGACAGCGCTCGCCAACCGATGGCCCGGTGTTTGGCTTCAGAAGTGCGGCTCTGTTTGGATACGACGACAAAGACTCACCGCCGAGGACTGACTCAATATACGACACGTGTAAACAGGCGTTCAATTCAGTGGTCGGCGTCGAGCCGTCGATAGGCAAACAGCCGCGCAAACAGACGGACGAGAAGTGCCGCAGCTCTGGCTTTATAGTGAAAGACGAGTCCATTTTGAACGGCTATGTGATTACGACCGCTCGGGCGGCGGCACAGACTCGCGACGTGAACATCATCTGCACTGACGGCCAGAGACGGACGGGTAAAGTGGTGTATATGGAGGCGCACCTGGACTTAGCGCTCATCGAAGTGACCACAAAGGCGTTGTATAACAATCGCAAAGTGTTTAAGCGACCGATCATTGGCCGCGACAACGATGTCTTCATTCCTCAGCCATCGGTTGCTCTGACACAACTCAATAGTCGTCCGACCGGTGCTCACGACCTCTTCATAACGGGTTCGGCCGCTCTGTGTCTCCTCTATTGCCACCAAACTGTGTGTACTCTGAATGGCGGCGAACGAGTGGCCAGTCTTTGCGGTCGCACTTATGTTATGAAAACGGATATCGTTTGCGATTTAGACAACGACTCGGGAGACGACGACTCACTTGAATATG